ATTTATACTTCTTTTTTAAGTCAGATATAATATCATCTTTAGCTTTAGAATCATCTACTAATTTAGAATAATCTGACATAAGTGTACGTAGAATAAGTGCATTTTTCTCCTGTATCTCTTTCTGATTAAGAACTTCATTACACTTTTCGCTATATTTATTTAAAATGTCTTTCTTCTGCAAGACAAGGTCTGCACAATTAGAACAGTCACTATTCTTTCTTCTCAGTTCCTCCTGTCTTATTATCTTCAAACTTTGAACCTGTTTTAGATTGGGAGATTAGTTTTAGGTACTAGAGCAGAATGATTCTGTGAGAAAAGCATATACTTACTTCCTCTTTCAGACTGGCAGCCACTTTTCGCAGTTTGGAGTATTTGGAATCCTTTTCAGTGATAGATTCTTCTTGAGCTTTTATCTGGGTTTCGAGTTCTGATGCTTTATCCAGTAGCTTCTGAATCTGTTGGTAGAATGTTTATCATTAACTGGTACATATTTCACAAGATATGTTGGTGAATAATTAAAATTAGTGTTTTAAAAAACTCACCTCATTGCTAAGATCTGATTGGTTCACCCCAACAGATTTTTCTAATGTAATTAATATTTCACTTTGAGAATTTATTGTTGTCCTGAGTGTCTCAATTTGTTGTCTAGATCTATCAAGCTCAGCTTCAAGAAAGGTTATTTTTTCTTTATCTTCTTTACTCTGAAAAACAGTAATACAAGACAAATTAAAATCTTTTTTATAGCTGATACAAAATATTGTTAATTTTAATGGAAGATCCTTTTTACCTTCTCTTGAACTTCTTGAAGCTGAGCTGTTAGTTGGTCCACCTCAAAGCAGGCCGATGAGTATTGTGAATCAGTAGACTGTGTCATAGCTGAGAACTTCATTTGTTGTGCAGAAAGTAGTGCACTTTCCTGTAATTCCTGCCAAAAAATAATCAAAGTTAGTTCGCTCTCTTTTGGATTTATTTTATTTCCCATTTTAGATAAAACTTTTACAAGTAAAGTTTGAACATACCTTTTCAAGGTCTTGAACTCTACTTTCTAGAGCAGCACACTCTTTGCTAAGTCTCATCTTTTCCTCTTTTCTCTGCTCTTCCATCAGGTCGAGTGCCTTGGAAGCCTGGCATAGAAGATCCTGCTTCTCAGAAAGCTCCTTGCGCATAGACTCATTTTCTACTTTTAACTCAATATTGTATTTAATAACTTCCTCTTTATCCTTCAAGCCAGCTATTAGACCCATCCTCTGTTCCAGAGAATATATTTGTACCTTCAAGTTGAAATTCTCTTTCTTTAACTGACTTTGCTTTTCCTCCAACTCTCTCATGGTGCGTCCTCTGACGGGAGAAGCTTTACTGGTCGTTGGATTATTAAAAACTGGAAAATAATAATTACATGTGCAATTAGTTTAAGGAAAACAAGGATAAAATAAACATGAGGCATCTGTAAAGGTAATTTGTAGCCTCCCCCAATGTTCACCGAAATTCAGGTTAACAGGCGAGCTCTGTTCGTTGCGTCTTGGCACTGATTCAAGATGCCACGCTGTGCCACGCCACCCCACGGCACAGAGCTCCGGCCGCCACGCCAATGTTTTGCTCCCACCATAATTGATGCCCACGGTGCCCTACCCTTCCACCGCTTAGCCCTACACGGTAAAAACGAGCCCTGAGATTTCCAGGAGTTTTCTTCATTTTCCAGGGGAGTTGTAAGAGTCCCAGGGGTTGCCCTGGAAATGTGAAATTTTTTCAGGGGATGTCTTGGGCTTTCCAGTAGATCACCCGGCAGTAATTGCTTGTTTCCAGGGCATCCACTGGGGTTCCAACTCTCCTCACTGTTAGAACCTTACGAAGAAAACTGCCGCATCCTTCGTGGGCACGAAGGATTTGGCATTTTGCTTCGGAAGGGTTTTAACTGTGCTGGGAATCCCAGGACGCGTTTTTACCGAGTAGGGAAGGCGCAGGGAAGGCCTAGGGAGGGTAGATCTATGAGGCACGAAGGTAGCCCTAGTGGTAACTCTCCCTAACACTGTGTACACTTACATGACGCCTGGCCCAGGGCCTCGGAGAGCTGGTTGGGACTGGTGCTGCAACAAACAGAAAGTCGAGGTAAAGCGATTGCATAGGGAGCGCAGCCATCAGCATTGTCACACGAAAAGAACAATTCAAGGTCCAGAAGGGGATGCCATGTGCCGAACCCTCCTCGCCGCCACCATCAGCACCTGGGCAACCGGAAGTGGGGTAACACGAAAGCAGTAAGCATCCAGCACCCCACTGACGGGAAATGGAAAGAGTCCTGATGAGGAGGAGATGAGGAGATGGCTTGTCTCCTTGCTTGAGACCAAGCCACACTCCATTTAACCTCCACCATTTGTTCCACCTCAAATCAGCAGAGGAGGAGAGTAGTGTAACAACTTCACTCACTCGGCCGGCATAGAGATAGCCCTCCCAAAGCCACACGACACTAACCGCAAGGGGTGGCTTCAGACTTAGTCCTGCTACGAGCACACAACACAGCACACGGGGACTCGAGGACCACCATTTAAAGCTGGCCGCATTGGTCACCCTGAGCGAACCAAGCTGCGGGCGCGTGGCGAACGAACGCTCTGCCCTCGGAACGCCCTTGGTGCGGGGGGCGCGCGAGGGCGCGCACGGGCGTGGCGGGCGGGGTCAGAACGCCCTTCGAGCGTCGCGCCGCCGCCCCGTGCCTCGCCACAATGATATCATTGGCTCGGGTCGTGTTTATGTTTTCGCCCAGCCACTCCGCTGTGGTCCGCTCGCCGCCGCCAGCTCGGCCGCGGCTCTGACTTGGCACCGTGCGGCTCAAGAGTCACACGGTGCCAGAGGCAGCTCGGCTTGTTCTATTCCACAGCACAGCGTTCGTTTTCCACCCCTGGGGGTCATACACTCGCCAGTGCGCCCGTGGGTAGTCCTCCGCCCGCCGCGGGCGCTAGGGAGGTCCAGCCCAGCCAGCGCGAGAGCTCGCCAGCAGGCGCAACCCCCCACCCTGCGCGCGGAGGCTGCGTGACTCATCCGCGTCGCACCCACCCCCTCCACGTCCTCCAGGACCGCCCCCCACCCCCGCGGCGCGGGGGCGTAACGACCCTTCCACCCCCGCGGGCAGAGCATGACGTCATCGCATCGCGCCTGGGGGGCAGGTAACAGCAGCAGCAGGACCGCACTGGCAGAACGGTTTAAACACCTTTATTAAACGGTGCATGCATCCCCCTCTTGGAACCGTTTGACAACATGCTGTTTGCTCTAGGAGCACGAGCCGATGCCCCGACGCCCCGCCGCCCCTCAGCAGCGCAGACAATTCCTCCGCCAAGTTACGGCAGCTGCGTACTGCGTAGGAAGGCAGGAGGGGAGGGGGCCCCTCTCTCTTGTTGATGCCAGAGAGCAGCAGGGACCGTCCGAATACCATGAGGTCGAGCCAGGGGGGGATAGATAGATAGGAGAGAGGGAAGAGGAGGGAGACAGACTGCCATCGCATCGCAGAAGCACCACGCTGTTACAAACAACACCGCGCCATAGAACAAAGTCAGTCTTTCACTTCCGAATCGGACGGAATAAACAGTCAGGCGGTTTGCGCACGCTCCCCCGCGACACGCGGCTGTCCTAAACGCACTCGTCATGGTGCCGCGGTGTACTGCGAGCAGGGCGGGGCAGGGCGCGGGGTGGGGGCGGCGGGCGAAGAGGCACTATCACCCAAGTCAGCGTCCACATCCACTGGGTGGCCCACAGAGACGCTCTAATCTCTGTATCTCGCGCCCTATCTCTCTGGTGGTGACCACCTCCCCGCCGGGGGCACAGGGTCGGTGTCGCGGGCGCTGCAGCTGCTCCGCCAACCCCTCCCGGGTTATTCGACCCCCCGCCGACGGCGACCTCGTGCTTTCTCTCCCCGGGGGCGACTGCCTCGGGAGGGAGGAAGGGAGGGAGGGAGGGAGGGAGGCGCCATTGTCGCCGACGTCGCCGTCGTCACTCGGAGGTCGTACACGGGCGTGGCGCCTGGCGCCTCGAGGCGGACGGACCGACCGACGGACGGATGGCCCGTGACGGCGGTGACGGGGCGGCGCTGAGATGGGGGAGAAGGAGCGCGTGGGCTTGGCAGTGCCAAAGGCTTCACGATGTTAGCGAGGCCCATGACCAGGCCGGGCCGGGCCGGGCCGGGCTCTCCGACCCGACGGCCCAACCAAGGCTGGGGCTCACGTCAGGGCTCTCGGAAAGCCGCGCAGCCGCGAAGCAGCGTCGCAGTCCCTCGCTCGCCGCGAGTGAGGTACATAATTAGTACAGAGGGTGCACCGCGGGGTTGCAGCACGGTGGTGGTTTGCGCCGCCGTGAGGGAGAGCCGCGCTCGGAGAGGCATGCAGGGAGAGAGGGACGTGTATTCCTCTTCCCCTGGCACCACTAAACGCCTCCTGGCACGTCGTGCCGTATTTATAGAGGATTCATTCCCTTCGGCACGTAGGACACCCAAGAGGAGGAGGAGCAGGAGAAGAAAAGAGGGGGAGGAAGGCGGGGAGATGAGTGAGACAGTTATGTGGGGGAGGAGAAAAGGGGGAAAGGGGGGCTTAGAGAGGCGCGCCCCGTCGGCCGGCCCTCTCGTGGTGCGGAGGGCACTCTAGAGAGGCGGCCAGAGTGGAGCCGCGCGTGCTGGCACTGGCCGCGCCGCGGGCCCCCGTGCCCTGGTCGGTACGGACCACCGCCTATTTCCGTCGTCCCTCCGCGGGCCGCGGCGTGGCGGG